CCCGCCCAAATCCTACAGCAACAACAGGTGGTAGCCAGCACACAGGATTAGCAGCAGCAGTAGTGGCAGCCGTAGCAGTTCGGCAAAGGTGCTCGAATGCGAGATGTCACTGCAGGCAGACATGGCCCGTGGAGGTACTTCGGAAGCATCCTGGGCCAGCGCGCTTCGTGCCCTCTGCGGAGCAGGAGGAGGGACGGTCTAGCAGAAAGGCCCTGACCCCGGGCATGATCGACGCGACGACGAGGGCGGGCAAGGTTCAGGCTCCCCCTACAGGTCATTCTGGCGGGCAGGGCCTGTCTACCAGGTCTACTACCAGCCTGCCTGTCTGCTTGCCTGCTCCTGGGTGCTGATGCTGCCCTGGGAGATCCACAGCGGGCCCCCCTTCGAGGGTGCGCGCAATTGCGAGACGCTCGACACCCTCTACTCTGCATCCATGGGTCTTTGACCGGCGCTCCGACTCTGAAGCAGCCAGCGACAGGGTATCAGGCGGCTTGGCGCTCTCGGGCTAATTTTTCTGCATGCAGGGCTTCCACGTGCGCGTCTTCTCCTGGCCGTCCTGGCCGGGCGGTGGCACCCTTGCATCCTGGTATCGCTTCACGTCGCCGCCGCAGGAGCCCACGCCATGCGCTCTTCAAACGTCACAATTTGTCCGTGTCTGGTCTGTCATCCCAAACCTCGCTACGGTCCGCAAACACGACCAGCTACCTGACTGGCAAGCGGTCATGGCGACATCACAGCCCTCGCTCTTCCGTCTTATGCGTGCCCATCTGAACCTGTCCTGGTGGGTCCCGTCGTGCTGTTGCTCCTCTGTGCCCACCTCGCATCCGACCCAAGGTAGACCGAGGACGTGTGTCGCGCAGGAACTCGGCCATGCCACCCTTGGTGGGGGTGTGCAATGTCCCGGCCCAAAGCACGTCGTAGCGCTTTTCCAGAACAGCCAGCTGTCGCTATGCACATGCACGTTGGGCGAGGCTTCAATCGCCCAGGTGCCACCACCGTTGAGACTTTATTGACCATGGAGGGCCCTTTGATTGTCCTAAGCGACTGGCCACAAGCTGGGCGCACCGCTATGCCTCGCTCAAGCCTGGAAGTCACTAATGTACGAGCTAAAGTGAAACGATTTCCCCAGAGCCCACGTTGTGTGGCTACCCACCCAGAGCCAGGATCAGCGAGCCAACGCTAGTCTAGGGTGGAGGCATGGTACGCAGAGGCCGCCGCTACTCATCAGGCCCTGATAGCAAGTTATAGGCGCATGCCAGCCATGTCTTGCATCGCTCTCAGTCGTGTCTCTCTACAATTCCGTCTCGCCCATTCGGCCTCGCCGCCTCGTCCTCTTTGCTAAGAAAAAATTATCCTCTTCTTGACTGGCCTTTATTTTGCCTTCCTCTTAATACACTACCTGGCTCACTCCCTACAACACACTCCTCTTGTCTCCATTGCTTTCCCCCTCTTCTTCGAGACCCGGGAACAGCTCATCACCCACAGCCGGCATAACCTGATATATTCACACAACGCTTGGACCGCGTTTTGTTTGGGACTCCGCTGACACAGCAACCTCGACATCGCATATACTTTCACCGCCTCTCGCGGATCCTCGATGACTTCAATCCTTCACTACCGAGACCCCATCGCCTACAGGAGTGACCACATGAGTACCTCCAGCTACCACTCACCTCACATGGATCAACAGAAGCGATCCCCGCCCTATGAGGGCCACTCGTCTGGCTCAGAGGCCAGGCAACTTACCCCCGGCGCGAAGAAGCGTCCATCGAGAGCTGGAACACGCAGCGTCACGACGCTCACTGCTGCTCAGCTGGAGCGGAAGAGGGCAAACGACCGAGAAGCACAGCGTGCCATTCGCCAGAGAACAAAAGACCACATTGACACTCTCGAGCGCCAAGTTCGTGACCTCACAGCCCAGCTCGAGAACAACTCTTCTACCAAGATGATGGATCTTATCCGAAGAAACGAGGAGCTCGAGCAAGAAAACGGCATGCTACGCGCACGCTTGTCGCATGCAGTCTCTACCCTTGGTGTTCCAGAACAAGGTGCCGGTATGTGACGAACTTTATTTATCCCTTTCTCTTTCTCCTCCCCCCCAAAAGCACTGTCCAGTTGTTCCACCAGTGAAGTGGTCGAGCCGCTTCAGTTGCTTTTTTTGGTGTCTCGGGCCGCAGCCGTTCGAATGCAGCCACCGTCGTTCTCGCAGCATCATCACACATTTCTTTTCCCACTGTCTCAATTCCCATGATTTGGTTGGCCCACTTCGTTTAGCGACATGCAGCATCTGTAACACTTCGCTTCCTTTTGCTGTCCCAAGCGAGACGATAACGCCAACTTCATGTCTGAAATTCAATGTGATGGCAGTGCATATTCACTAACACCAAGCAGGGGCACCCTCGCCCAGCGACCGCGTTCAGATGCTCAGCCAGCCCCGGAGAATGTCAACTGGGACTGCAAGAAGCGCACACTCTGTACCAGAGATTGCGACGCCCGTCTCACAACCAGCACACTGGCAGCCACAGCACACATATGCTCAACATGTCTCCTCACCACATGTCGACACGCCACCAGCCATGGGCGAAGTTCAACCGCCTCAACACGAGGCTGTTCGCTGGAGCCCTCATCCTGGCCACCCACAGCAACAGCAAACACAGCAGCAACAACCGCAGCAACACCACCAGGTTTCGATGCCAGTGCAGGATCCATCGGTTCATGCAGTCGAGCAGCCGAGCATGTCCTACCCGAGCCCATATGTCATGGAGAGCAACGCCCGGGCCATGTCGTATCCTCTTGAGAACGCCTCCATGGTCACGTCACAACCTATGCCGATGTCGGGATACGGTACGCCCACCTCACACCCTTCTCCGCATACTTCAGAGTACCAGCGACACATGAGTGTCCCGATGCACCATCAATCGGTTCAGGGCCAGGCTCCTGCTCAACATCAGCAGCACCACACTTCGGCACCTTATGGTTCATATGCTGTGGGACCCCAACAAGGCTACCCCCCACAGGTTAGCCATGGCGGCGAAATGCCCATGATGCACGCGCAACATGGCCAATCTCAGATGATGAATGAGCAAGGCCAGCACATCATGTACCAGCCATACCAATCAAACATGAAGGTTGAGCATTGAGGGGTGACCCGGCTCGTCCAAGCATGTTCACAAAAATCCTTTGTGGCTGCAGACCGTTGGCCAAGATGTCGGGTTCGCAATCATTCATAGAGCCTCGAATTCTAAACATCGCCTCAAACAACCGCGCCACATGAAACAACATGTTCTTCACAAACTTGACAGCAAGCTACAACTCACCATGACACGCGGTACCACGCGGCACAGCAACGATAAGCCTGTAGAGTACTTGGCTGCATCTAAAAACGGCACTGCGAAGGGCGGTCCCAAAGCAGTAGCGTTGGCCGACTCCTCGATCTCGTGCCTAACGGCAGAGTGCGATCTTGCGGGAATTGCTAGGGGCGACCATGCCACGATCCTGCGGCCTTTGCGCTAGTTCAAGGCAACCTATAGGTTCACGGCATCGTTGCGCACCGTGCAGCTACTCCCAAGTCTGAACTCGGACAATTTCGCATCCGTGTTGGAGTCCCCCCACGATCGCATAAAACACAATGAAACAGCGACACGGCAAGACCCACATTTGGACAATTGGATCAAATCCGCTTTCAACTGCCCACCCGCGCCACCAATGAAACTACAATGGCACGCTATCAACAGTGTGTGCAGCTAGCGAACGACCCTGTAGAGGCTAGAGTCGACCAGACGGTGAAGAGGTGGATCTGCTGATGGCGTGGAAGCTTCTCAGAAGACTGGAAATGAGCAATGGAACATTCCGCGAATCCTCCATTGGGGTCGCGGGATGTGGAGGGCGTTGGGGTCGTCTTTTTTTTCGTTTGGCTTCTCGCTTCAGCTTCTCCGAACGTCTGATTGGGACCAATCCTGGCAATGCAATTCTCCCGAGCTTTCCCGACTTCCGATGACCGCAGCCGTCTGCAGCCCGTGTGATGCGCGTTTGCACGAGACGAAGACAAGATGACAGCAGGGTTGCCCCACATACGCTACAAAGATTGCTAGAGTTTCCCTGGATGGGCAGACTAGTCGCAGCGCTGAAACGTCGAATGCCAAATACAACTACACTTGAGCCGACTAAGGAGCAACAGCCCACGGATCCTCGGCTACGACGCGCAACATCAGCATGTCGTGCGCTCTGCCATTGCCATGTCTCCGGCACTACTGACCGGCAGCTGCCCGCCCATGGGTCACCCAAAAGCGCCGTAGGACCGAGGCCAGCAGAAATTTTGGTGGCTTGACACCCAGCCTGCGCTGCCGCCAAGCACAGGGTGTGGAGTCCATGCGTGGCTTCCCGCGGATCCGAACACATGGGCTCGGGCACGCTTCCATCCAATCGCCACCATGGGCGCCCAAGCGGGTCGTGCTCTCCATGTTCATGTCTGCACTGGGAAGCGTTCCCGACCTGTACCTTGCGAAGTGGATATCAGCTCACCGCATCGCTGCATCTCGCTACGCATCATCGTTGCTGGCGTGCAGTGGTGTGCTGGTGTGTCACACCGCATGAACAGCGAGGGTGGTTGACAGGCGTTGCAGAGAAGCCATTGCCGCAGAGTTTCATGGGACATTTTGCATTGCTCTAATCAACTACGATGACGGCTTGTCTGCCGATACCGCTGCTTGCTGCGCGCGAATCCGTCTCAGTTCTTCTGGATACCACCGCTCTCCCACATCAGGGTGGCTCTTGATCCGGTTCATGAGCGTCGCTTCCCCTAGATGACCCCACCGGCCCTTGACAAAGGTAAATTCAACATCATCTCTTCGCTGCTTTCTCGCCTCGTCTCTCAGCTTGAGAACATCTTCGGGAACGTCCATGGCTTCGAACTGAGCGTCGTAGCTTACACCTTGGAAGAAGGGCACCGAGTACCGCGCCCCCTCTCCCTTGCGAGGACTGAGAACGCGATGGGTGGTTGAGGCGCAGACGCCGTCCGTCAAGGCCTCCATGCCCTGCCCTATGGCCACAACCAGGGTACCGGGTATGGGTGGGCAATCTATCCATTCGCCTTTTGCGTTTTGCGCCTGCAAACCTAGTTGGTTGGATGCTTGCAACAAGTAGCTGGTCAGCATGCTGTCTTTGTGGGGTCCTACACCTTGGCGTTTAATCTCCCACTTCTTACGATCCATCTCACTGGCTCCTTGTGGCAAGTCTGGTACATCAACCTCGGGATACTTTACTATTTTGAGCTTGTGTTGCTGGTCGCGATCAAAAAACTTGTCAAAGGCCATAGCGGGAAGATCGATTGCTTCGGCGATAAGTGAAGTGAATAGCGTCGAGATGTGGGCCATGCGTTGTATGTACTCTTCATACACGGGCCGGAAGTTTGGGAGATGCTGTGGCGAAGGCCATTGATTTGGTGCGAGAAGGTTATGGTAAATTGGCGCCTCTGGTCCCGGAACGGGATGCGGTGTTGAGAGGTCGAGTTGCTCTCTATGATCTGGATTGAAAGCCGTCGTCTCATTGTCGAGCTGCAAAGGATAAGCATTTGTCAACATGTGATCTGTTTTATTTTACGAGTCGAGAAAAAAACTTCAACATGAAAAACAACAAGTACACAAAGGAAAGAAAAAAGAGATGTGTTCGAAACGGAAGAGAAAGGGGAGTTTGAAAAAAAAAAAGGAGGTGGAGCGTAATGGCAGTTGGATGAGTTGGGACTTGTCGATATGACGATTGCGAGTACACATTTGTTTGTCGTCGTGTCTTTTGAAACGGATATACCCAGATGATTAATTGTTTTCCCTTTTTTTTTGGTTCGTGTTATTTTTGCTCGGCGGATAGTAACTTGTAAGCATTTTGGTCGGTAATCTGCTGCTTTTTTCCTTTTTTCCCTCTCACGCATCACGGGTTCAACGGCCGGCTGTTCTTCTTTTTTTTTCTGTGCCATAATCACATCATCCTTTTCTTTGCTTATTACCCGCTCCCCGCACTCGCAACCGAACCTATGGGCCATGCATAGCGTACAAGCACATACAAAGCTTGAGTTAAAGCTTTCAATAGACCACAATATCTTTGCGGAATTTTGTTTGTATACTTGCCTTTTTTCTTTTGGAAAGTGTGATGTCTTTGAACAAGCCAATAAAACCCCCTCCCAAAAAAAAAACAAGAAAGAGAGAATAATCACAGTAACGGAAATTTCAAAGCAGAATCAAACTTACCCTCGACCATCCCAGAAAACTCTTCTCATTCTTCATCTCAATCGCTTCCTTCTCCTCCACCGGCAGTTCCTCGAAAAACCTCCGACACTCGCTAACCACACGCTGCACCAAGGCCTCGGGCAAGCCCGTCTCGCTCAAGTACAAGAATCCCACGTGCAGCAGCGCTGACCGCAGGTCGGCTAGGAACTGGGGTTTCGTATCTGGCGAGAGCGCGGCGCTGAGGGGCAGGATTGGGATTTGGGAGAAGGCTTGTTGGTGGTGGTGTTGGGGGGAGGAGGAGGGGCGTGGGGGTGACATGGCTGGGGTAAGTTGGAGGTACACGGCTGAGATGATGGTTTGTATTAAATCTGATGGATGAGGTTGCTTTGTCGTTTGTTGCTAACTTCTTTTTTTCTTTCTTTATGGTGGTGGGAAGCGGATTTTTTTTCTCGTGGGTATCACACCACTGCTGGGCTGAGCTGAGCTGGCGGGCAAAGCACGTCGCTGTGTCGAGGTGTTGCGTGCTGCGGGGTAAATTCGGAGAGAGGGCGCGGGTTTGGTGAGGCTGGGTGGGTTACGCAACCGTGACTGGCTTTGCCTTGGTTTGGCGGGGCCTGGTTTGGCAACGTCGGTGATTGCTCTTCGTCTCTCCTTTTTTGGGGGGGAGTGTTTTACTTTCTGTGGGGGTTTTTTTTTGGTGTATGCTTCTTTTGGATTAAGTTTGTCTAGATTTGATAACGTGCTTTCCATGCGAGTGCTAGACCGAGGGCTGTGAGTTTCAAGCTGCCAACGACGATGAGACTTAGGGCGGCTTCGAGGACCATGGTTGAATGTTGGTCTTTGAGTATTTTGGGTTTGGGCAAAGAGGGCAAGTTTGCTGGATATGCAGAGTATGTGGGTTTGTACTTTGAGAGGAAGTACTACATGCAAAAGAAGCTTCTTTATCACTCCAACTCAACCCCCGAAAGAAGCTTCGGGATTTATATCGCCGTGTGTACAATCTTTCCGTCGACAAGTCCAACTACACCGCACTATTGATGCAGAAATCCCGTTGTTTGCGTCGTGCGACCTCATCAGAAGATGACGGCGTGCCGTCGCCACTATTGTTGGACAATCGAGAATGTGGAGTGAGGCGGCCACGAGATCCACTTGTCTCCAATCCACTGCGTTTGATCCAGTCTGGAGCAACTCTCTTCCCAACGAGATTACATCTTCACAACTACCGTTGGTCGCCTTACAATCTCGCCTACTCTCTTGATCCCTACAGTCGACATCATCCAGCACGCGTCATGAGGTGCGGGGTCGTCGCGTGCCATAGCCGTTGGGCTTCTACAGACTACGCGGCTTGCATGATACGGTGAAACCGCGTGGAAGATGCCTGCTGGACGCCGGAAGGAAGAGCTCGAGACGAACAGAGGCTGCACAATCTCAAGTACGATACGTCCGTATCACGCATACGGGTTTACACGATAAACCCGTACTTGGGTCGGAATGAGGCTGTTGTGCAGGTGTAGCGATTGGCCAGAAGAGTCACGTGGTGATTGATGTGCAATACGCGCACCATCCAGGAACTTAATTCAAGCCAGGGCCTCGCCAAACAAGCACATGCGATAAGACGTTAATTTCATCTCATGCATATGCAAGATGAGGCGCACTTCAAGACCCCTAAACTTGTCTCCAAACCTAAAACTGGGCACATTGACTGTCTCCAAGGCCCTTCTTCACATGACGCCGCAGCTGGAGGCCCTGCAGCTAAGATTTCGGCACGTTATCCCACGACAACAAGGGCTTGCTTCACCGACACCGAAATATCTCCACTTATTCTCCCTTAGCCCCGACCAGCGACCCACTGCGATAGTGACCCGTGCAAGTTACCAAGTTGCCCTCTGTGGCATTTCGCGACAAGCGCTAGAAACACTTGTTTAAGAAAAGACAACCCTTTCGATATTAACAGAGTAACGCCGAAAGAACAGATCAATATATTTACTAAGCCCCTAGACCCATCCACCCTCCACCCCCTACCTTCCAGTCCAAGACGGTACCCACACCTCGCAATAGTACCCACATCTTTCCTAGAACGTTGACGTGCATACATTGATGTTACAATCTTGCCATCGGGAAACTTTACCTGCAAACGGGCAAGGCCTAAAGGCGCGCTCCTTTCCATGTACGTCTGGCCAATGCGAGATACGACCAACGGGAAAAAGCAAGCAGATAGCCGACTGCGCCACATGCATCATTACACTCGGAGCCTACGACAACAAGTGCAAGAAGAAGACGCCAAAAAAGCAAAAACAGAAAGACAGCAAAACTTACGCGATCCCTGACCCGGAGCTTTGCCATGGCCCCCCGCCACCCACCCCACCCCTTGACCCTGCCAGCGTTACAGTCTATGCATGGACAAGGGTTACGTGATGTGTCAAAAGGATAACTCTGTCTGCCTATGTGGCTCAGGGAGGAAAAGAGTGCAAAGAGTGCGCAAGCGCACGCCCGTCGCAGATCGTTGCAGGCGGAAAAGAAGCCTACCATGCAAAGCCGCCATCCACCCATGCAAGACCTTGCATGCTCGCGCAAAGGCAAAAAAAAAAGAGAGGTAGGCACCGTCACGATAGTATTAGTCCTTTGTCCGCAAGGTGTCTTGTCTTGTCCCCCTTGCTAGACGCACACAAGCACGTTCGCTTACCTAAAACAAGTGTGCTGCGATGTCGGGGCTCCCGACTGCCGCGCGCAAGGGTGCTTGTTCGAACTAAATCAATCAATCAGACAAGAAGGCGCCCTTTTCCTCTCTCTCTCATCAGAGATAAACATGGGTATATGGGGAAGTGATGGGGGGAACTGGGGGGTGTCTGTGTGCCCCCCCTAACCCTACCCTACCCTTCACAGTAATATGCTTACATACCTTCGCACCAACCTCTCGCACCAACCAACTTTTACACTCAAAATTGGCAAATGGCTAGGGTATGTGTGTGGGTGTGGGTAGGGGTTTATAGGACCAGGAGGAAAACACGAGACATGGGGGAATTGATCAGATAGAGAAAAAGATCATGATAAAGAGCTGGGTTGATACACAGCTTCATTTGCCTATACTACGAAAGACTCTCTCTCTACATACTTTTCCCCCAAAAAAAGTAAAAACGCTTTAAAATTTCAACCCATTTGCCATTCTCAGCGTTTTGCGCAAAAAGGTCAGTCGTCGTCGTCGTCGGTCCCCACTTATCGGAAGAAAAGCAACCTCAGAAATAGGGTAGTTTCCGCATGGACCCGGGCCCCAAGGTGGCCGCTTGCGTCGTCCTCGTCGACATATCACGAGAGTTTGTTGTAGTTAGCCGGGAAAAAAAAAATTAGTCTTACTGTGTACATTTCGCAATTCGGGCGGTAAGTGGGTCCCCGCTGGCAAGGGAGAGAGACCGGTGATGGTCAAAGCAGAGCAGAGCAGGCCAAGCAATAGAGAACGGAGAGTTGAGAAAGAGAGAGAGAGCACGATAACATGGGTATATGTGTGGCCCACCGACCCACATCCCCACTCTTTTTTCCCTTTTTCCTTCTTCTTTCTTGTTGTCTTGTGTCTAAAGTTACCCTTTCCATCGGAACAAGCCAGACATGCTTGTCTTGGGAAAACGGTTATAGTAAAATGTAGGCGCATGGTTATGGGTCTCTCTCTCGCGCGCATGTGTGGATGCGTATGTGGGTGTACTTACTGATACGTAAGTGCCGCGTCGGGTATGACCCTCGAGACGGCAAGAGGCGCCGGTTCGGGCCTGCTCCTTGCCCTTGTTCTTCCCACCCCCATCGCTTGCGGGGGCGGACGATGCGGATGCACGGGGGTTTGCTTGGTGCTGGTCGCGGGTTACAAGCATACGACATGTACGCTACTTTTGTTGTTATATGAGGCCGTTTTATTAACGAACCGTTTTTTGTCAATATCCGTGTCTGCTGTTTGAGGTACTGGGGTGCACCCCCCTAGTTGGGGTAGTAAGATGTGGTAGTAGCTTGTTCTTCTGAGCGACCCTTCTTTTTGTTTTTGGAATTCTCCTGTTAAAGCGTGATGGGGGGTAGGTGCTATAAGCATAAGTGCTATAATAGGACTTCTGACCGTTGAGATAGGTGGTACAGACAGGCATTAACCCTGGCCCCCTTGATCGTCGCCTTTCTCTCTGTACTACATATGTATGGACGGTCTCCACTGCTACGGGCCTTTTTCTGCTGCCTGCCTTTACTCGTGCTGTGTTTTGAGTTTGTTATAAATGCGCCATTAGCAGAGAGTAATGGATACGATATTGTTTTGATGACATATCGCTTCATGTCAGGTCGAGTAGATGTCGTTGATTTGTCCTATGCAGGAGCCCTTGTAGATATTTCGGCTGCTGTCAGCCATGTCATGTGTTGTTGATACAGTGTTTGAGTTATATCTCTTGCCTCAGCCCTGGGGCAGGTGATAAAACGATCTCAGGTGCATTTACATACTGAGTAATTCCCCCGACAATCGAAGCATAAGGTTAGTGTACCTGGCTTTTAACTTGCATGTAGAGAGAATACAGTGGCAGGGAATGGCTGGTATACGTAGCCTACGCAAGTACCAAGATGCAGTGTAACATCACATGACCAAACCGCTCATTCGTTCACACAGACAAACCACAAAATACACACAAGTACAAGTGTTCACTTTTGCTTCAACGGAGAACTTGACTCATATTGACCTTTAATAGTTGATCCTGAAAGAAAAAAAACCCTCAGAGACAAAGGACCAGCAAAACCTCTGGTACTTCCCCCAACAAGACCAACCACATCATGATAAACCATTGCAAAATCCATTTCCTCCCCTCCCATCCTCCCCTAAAACATCCTCAAGTCTACCTCGTCAGCCAAGCCCACGTTTTCCCCCCATCTACTCCATGAAGAAAAGAAAAATCCCTTTAGATGTTGCAGCTTCCATCATCAATACAAGCACCACCATCAGCACAGCAATCGCACGCCTCGAGATCTCCACCAGTACCGCATCCAAAAGTGCAGATGGTACAAGCAGCAGACTGGCCTCGCTTCTCCATGGCGGCGATCTCAGCAGTGAGTTCCAAGGCGCGCTTCGAGTGGCTGAAGGTTGCGACGCTGGGTTGGATGGGGGCGCGCGCGGCGAGGGTTGCTGCCGAGGTGGAGATGGCGAAGAGGGTTGCGGCGAGGATGGTGGTGACTGTGTGATGTTAGATTGTGGAGGGGATTGAGGAGAGGAGAAAGGGGAGGCGTACACTGCATGGTGATGGTAGTTAGTGGGAAGTTGATTGATTGATTGATTGATTGTTGTGGTAAAAAAGCCTTGTTCGTGACAGGTAATCGGTAGTATTGAAAGAGTTGCTGAAAGCTGAACTGATGATTGTAGTAAAGTATGTCGTAGTGTGATGATATTCCTCAATTCATCCGCCATCTTCCTTCCTTTCTATACTTTGCCCAAATTGCACTGAGCAGATTAGTTCGCAGTGGTAGCATTGACGCTATACTCTTGTGCTTTGATGGCACAGAGGCTGCTGTTACCTAGCGGTTTGACTGGCACAGCGAGTTTGCCTCTGTAGCGCCAGCGCGCGGTTGCGCAAAAGGCAGAAGCGTTGTCACGAGTATGCCTTGTCACGATGCCTTGGCCTGCTAGCTTAGTCAATGCGTGCTAAGCAACCTGTTCGACGTCCAGGTGCACTGAGCTTGTCATTAAGGTTATTTGTCGCATGTTATCGAACAAAAAATGGTGGTTCAAACGTCGAATAGAGCAAATTGGTAGTGTATTTGCAAAAGAATTGTCTTGTATCAAATGCGTTTATGCACTAAAAATTTCTGTAGTACCACTTTGAGTGCATCGACTACAATGGTTTTGCACCGTTTTTTATCGACTCAAAATAGAAATTGTTGTTTCAAATACTCATACATGTTCCAGCACATGTCACATGTGGTAGTGGTTATATGCACGACACCAGAACTGGTTGCAAATGGATCTTGGCGTGGGCTGTTATCCCCGTAAGTTCGCTGTTTCGACTGGGATGACGTGATACAATCCAACGTGGTTCACGTCAAGGAGACTTGTGTCATCACTTACTATAGCACGATCAACAATCTCTTCTGCGGTCAGGCGGATATTTTCGATCTGTTGTTGTCCTGTCTAATAAGTCACTTCGAACAGGAGATGTGCTAAGGTTTGAGCCTTAGGTTTGTGCATAGCAATAATGTATCGTCAGCTAACAAGCGACACGTGCCCTCCTCACCATGGTTTACACTTAGCATTAGTTGGCTACAAGTAATGCATGCGGTCTTCATTGGGACCATTATAAGCAATGCGCGCTCTACATACAACAGAAGTAACCGATAAATCCCCCCCCTTATTTTCCCTCACCTTACTGCTAGAAGCCTCGATCGTAGACAGTTCACCATACCATCCCCTCCTGTGTGTTTCTTCAACATCTATGTACATCCCACAAGGAAGCTCACAAAGTGGTCAGTTCACATTTGTGTGGCGGTTGAATGGTATGCTAACGTCTTTACAAAAACTCCAAGTCAAAACTTGATATCACCAATACAAATGTGGGGGTCCACATCGAGGCAGCAGCTGGGATACACAGACGAATACATGGGCAACCGTTGATCTGGCACACGTGGATGCTATTGAGATAAGTAAAAGTCATCACTTCCTCTGAACCATATGAATTGCTACACTAACACCTAAGCAGATTAAAAACCAACTTGAACGTATAATCTTATCAATCGAATGCCGCCCTGTATATCATGCTGATAACCTGTATCGTAATCTCATTTCTCGTGAAACCTGTGTACATAGACCGGCTATTGGGTATCTACCTCTTCTCGTTCGGGTAATATGCTGGCTGTCCCTCAAGCGACTCGCCAACACCAGTACGGTAGCTCGGTGGTGGTCCACCAAAGGAAACTTGCCCGCCAGGCGTAGGGGTATAGGACTGGTTGGGAGGGGCGACTGTGTTGGTGGTTGCGTACTGATACTGCGACTTCATGTCGTTGTCAATCTCACCTCCATCACCACCTCCTACCATGACGGTTTGCTCGTTGCCCTTCTTGTCCTTGACCTTGCCGACGACCATACCCTTGGCAACAGACTTGATGATAGCCTTTCTGCTAACGCCGGTGACATCGATATATACGAGGCCAACGTTCTTGACACCGCCGGCAAGATTGCCGGTAATTGATCCCGCCTCTGCGCCATACTTGTGTCCAACAGCAGCACTAGCAGCAGCACCACCGCTAGTGAGAATCTGCCTACCGGAATGCGAGATACCATCGGCAACGGTTGAAAAGGCGATTAAGCTCTTATTCAGTAGACCGGGCTTGTAGTTTGCATTTGGTGTGCCGTCAGGGTTGACGCTTTTGGCATGCGTCTTCTTATGTCCCGCCATGCCTGCTGCTGCGTTTTGGGCATACTTTGTGATTTGGCCAACAGTCTTGGCTGAGTAGCCAGCAACACCAGTGGTGAAGGTGTTGATCTTGCGGGCACGCTCATGGGTAGCGGGCTTGAAGACCATGGGCTTCTCATTTGGCCTTGTCTTGTTTATAAAGTTCTCTGCACCAGACACCATGAGGTTGCTAAGGTAGCTGGAGCCTGTAACGACAAGTCGCGACGCTGCGGCGGCGTTTTGCACCAGGCCAGAGTCCTTGTATGCGGGATGACGGGCCATGTCAAGGTAATCTTCGTCGAGGGGCCTGATGTCAATACGCTTGCCATCTGGAGATACCACAATCTCGACGGGATCTTTATCTGTGTTAGTATGAGTGAGGAACGCGCTGCAAACAACACTGAGTGACTTACTCTTGGACCCTTGCTTGATTGCTGGATCAGCATGGACTTGCGCACCCTCGGCCAGCTCGCCTACGATGCTGCCGTTTTCCTCGTCTACCAAGACAACCTCACCCTGGCCACCAGAGCTTGCGTAGCCCTCGCCAGGCCTGTAGTTTTGAGGGTTGTATGCCTTGACATCACCCTTGCCCTTCTCGTGTGATGGCGCTTGCGCACGCTCGAGGAAGGCTGTGCACTGCGCCAAGATAGTCTCGAACGTGTCAATATCTTCTTGCGTGACGGAATTGGAACCCTTGGCAATCGGCGGGAACTCAATGCGCGTGAAGGCGTGGCTGTCTGGACCCAGATCCCATCGCGGTATGAGGTAGCTTCGCGGCGGCTGGTGGTAAATCTGGGTCGTCGCAGGGAGAGGGAGGTCAAGCTCGGGAGGGAGATTAAGGTGTAGGTAAAAGTCTTCTTCGTTCTGGCCGCGCGCGCCGCTGTCTGCAAAGGGCGAGTTTGTAGGCACCATCAATAGTGACAGTGTCTGTGGCCCAGAGGGAGTCAGGGAAGTCTCCTCACCCTGCTGGATGTGGTAGGCCTTGATGCCTCCAATCGTGTAGAGTAATCGAGGATCGCCATGGCTGCTCATGCTTGCGAGGGGAGTACTCTTGCGAGGATTCGGTGTGGGTTGGTGTTGGGGGAGAGAAGGATATGGAGAAGCTGCAGGGCGGCTATTTCTAAGGAATTAGGTAGGAAAGAGGGGGTATCGTCTATTTTGGGGCACGAGGACAGAATGACGGCCTTTTTATGGAATGCAAGCGGCAGGGAGTCGAGTGCCCAGCTTGCCGCAACTGGTGTTGCGGCGCCTCCTGGGCGGTTACGTCAAGAGGGTGGCGGCATAAAGGCCCAGAGCATCAGCGAATCACACTCCCTGTGGCTGAGCTGCTGCGCCACTCTGTACTCTGCCCTCACCCGCGGCCACTCCGCATTCTCGTAATTCCTGAGTGAATGCCAATATACCCACGCCTGTCTAGCCGTCTCCTTACAATTCTCCCGACGAGTTCGCCCCTTCACATGCAACATGTTAATCTGATTTTCACTGTAGTATCGGTTAGCTGACGTCTCTGGACGCGTCACATCCAGTCTCTCCCTTCCAACACTTGGTGGCGCAGCAAGTCATCGCGGCCCAAGTCCTCGTCTAGCTTCTCCAACATCGTGCACATCATTCGTGCACATCTCCTGTATATGTATTGTCGACACGCGCGACTTCTTTTGATTCGTTGTTCTACTCGCACCTGGCCTGCTCGACGTCCCTATAGCCGTCTTTTCAAGTTTCGAGTTCACAACCTTATCTACTTACCACGTGTATCCCTACCTCAAGCATTGATCAACGAAAGATGTAGCATGGGTCAAGGCAGAAACTCGTCACGTGTAAGGGCTGCCAAGCGTAGGTTTGAAAAGTGTCCGCTACAACGTAGCGCTTATGACTGCGTCCAATACAATACACGATAAGAGTTCATTGCCAAATGCGTAGGAGCACATTGCCCCTCTCTTCCTGCACAGAACCATGAATATCCTGCCATGCACCCTCAGCTTCACCCTCAGCGACAGTATAAATCAACAGCATCGTCAGACAGCGTATGACTCCCGCCCGCACACCTATACCCACTGGCCTGCTTGATCCACATGTAGCCAGCTGGACACGGTCCCAACATGCGCAGCTTGCTCTGCCTCTCCTTCTCCTTCTGCCGCTTCCTCTCAATCGCTGCCAATTCTTCGTCACGACGTCTTCTCTCTAGCTCAGCTGCGATGCGCGCTTGTTCCCTTGCACGTCGCTCCTGCTCGTCAGCAGCAGCTTTTTCCGCGCGGATAAACTCCCTGATGCGTTCCTCCTCTTTACGCTTCTCTTCTTGCAAGCGACGAAACTCTTCTTCTTTCGCAACCATGGCTTGCTTATCGCGCTCAAGTTGTTCCCAGTCTTCGTCAGACACTCCTGGATCGCGCTTGGCCTTGAATATGGAATAAAGATCATCTTCGGGTTGAGTTGCGGGCTCAGGTTTCTTCTCCTCTGGTTTTGGTGCATCCTTTTGCGGTTCAGGTTTCTTCCCGGCGGGTGGTGGCGCTGGGGGAGGTGCCGATCTAGAGTCTGTACCAACGTTCGGATCTGATGGACCTGGTGGACTGGCACCATGCGATTGTGGTTGGTACGCTGGCCGCAAATTTGGTTGTTTCGCAAAACGACTGGTGCCTGCGGCAGCATTGCGTTTAGAACGCTCAGCGAGCATTGCTTCCATCTCATTGACAACAATGTTTTCAGTCAAGACAAGACTAGTGATGGGAGGAATAGCTGTCGAAATCAGTCGCTGGAACATGCTCTTAGCAAGAGATTTCACGTCGCGAGCGTTGCCCCACGATTCCAGGACCGACAACTTTCTAAAGAGCTCTAGCAACTGTTTTCTCAATTTCTCCG